TTGCATGTTGTCGTGGCGAGTCGAAAGGGATGTTCTCTCGGTTTCTAATTGCTGCTTATCCTCTTCATGTTTTCTTACATCGTTTCGCAGAACAGCCATCTCACTCTCTTTGCGTCTGAGCATCTCCTCATATCCTGTAGAAGTTGCAGAGAGATCGGAAATCTGCTGGCGGATCGAGCGGTTTTCGTCGACCAAGTCCTTAACTTGCTTTTTCGACTGATCCAGCTCTTTGGATGTGTTAGCTAGTTTAATATCAAGGTCTTGATCCACTTTCAATAGCCTGGCCTCCAGCTCTTGAACCTTCCGTTCTTTCAAGGTGAGATGGCTTTGTAGCATTTTCAATTCTTGGTCTAGTTCTTTGATGTTGCCGTCTTTCTGGGTAGAGGTCTGCTCTGCCTCTAACAATTTACGGTCAATTTCTTCAAGATGTGCCTGCATCTCATGTTTCTCGGCTTCAAAGCGTTGTATGATCTCCCCAGCTTGCTCCAGTTGTGTTATCCGTGTGTGGAGCTCCTCATCGCATCTCTTCTTTGCTGCGATCAGTTCGTCTAATTGGTCCTCAAGGCTTTCCTGGTCCGCAATCGCACCGGCTAATTTTTCGCTCAGCTCAACTTCTCGCATCTGCAGTCTCTTGAATATCTCCTCCTTATCCAGAGCTAGAGCTCTTTCACTCTCCAGGGTCTGTTGGATCTTTTGGATCTCTATCTCTGTGCGGCGCCTTTCTTCGTCCAGTTTTTGGCGGTCTGCAAGGTCCTGCTTGGCCTTTGTCTCCAATTGTTGAATTTTCTCATCTCTCTTTTTGACTTCATTAGCCGTTCGTGTCTCACCAAGCAGGGGTTTCATTCGCGAAAACAACCGCCACCAGGGATTTGCTTTCAGTTTCAGATAGACCGCGAAATTGTGCTGGATGATCCGAGTTGCCTCGGCCCGATACAGTCGTTTGTTAGAGATACGACGCTGCACGAAACCTCGAGCAATTGACTGGAAACGTGTCATGATGGAACGAATAAGTTCGTCTCGTTTCTCTTCCAACTCAGCTAGCACACCGGCCCGGAAGAACACCTTCGTTCGGCCGACGCGGTACCAGGTTGGGTCCATGCCTAACTTGTCCAACATCATTTGAGCAATGCTTTGTCCATCCAAATATCCTTTGGACACATTGCGGCAGAGCACCTCATATCGCTGACGGAACTCAGCAAATGACAGCCGGTTGGGGAACCCCGTGCGAGCAATTCTGATACCCTCCAATACACCATTACATCGTAGTTGATCTAGAACAAGGGGGGCGTTGAACATCTTCGGCCTTTTCTTGTGATTGGGAATGATGCATCGAACGAAATGAGGATGAGTCGAGTTTAGTGAAGACATCAAACTTGACAATTGCTCCTTGTGCCTCTGAGCAACTGTGCGGAATAGCCCCTTTTTGACCCGGCTCTTAGGGTAATCGGCCTCATCATCTGGGTCTCCGCAGTCTGAAAACAAGCTCGCAACGTGCTTATCCCTCGAAGCTGCGAGCAGACGGGTCACGTTGTCATTCAATGGGTCTTTGTTCTTTTCAAGCCAACCATTCGTATCGTACTCTACCTCAGAAGCATAGTGCGTGAGAATGAATCCCTGGCTCAACCGGGAGGCACGATACTTGGGAGACTTGCGGTCCCAGAGTGAATGTAGCTTTTCCGTGAAGGACTTGTCAGTGGCCTTTGGCATGACACAATCCTCGTCCAAGCACGAGAAAATACCAATTGGGTTAGTTAGCTCAATCAAATCAATTGTCGGCTGCAAATCTTTGCCGAAGTCAATGAATTGCCATTCGATCTGCTCCTTCGCGTACTCCTCCTGCTCCAAGACAAACATGTGGTGATTAAAGAACTGCTGCAGCTTCTCATTAGTATAGTTGATACATAGCTGTTCAAAACTATTGTTCTGAAATATCTCAAACCCTGCTATATCAAGGACGCCGATAAAGTAACTGTCATCTCCAGTGGTGGCGCTGCGATCCAGTCGTTGATTGATGCGATTGACAAGATTTCCGAAAGAGCGTTCGTAGATTCCCTTTGCAAGAGCATCAAGGGCAAGTCGGACCTGCTCTGGCGTTTGGACCTTCTCCACCCATTCGCGACCCGCCTTCACCCTTGGATGAAGTAAGCCTTTCACAAAAGGCTTTGAAGGTATCCCCAGCAACTGACAGGCCTTTTCCACGCTTTTCAATGCATCAGGGCCCAAGGCCGCCTGATCGGCACGCAGACTCTCCTTGACAATGGCCACATTTCCTAGGTGAAGAACAGCCGAGATCGTGCGAAGAATATGCATTTGGTCATCTTCTGAGAAATCCATAACATGAAATGCCTCAAGCAACGCATTCCACTCTTCATCATCTGATACTCCGATGATGCTGTCGTTTCCATCCCTTGTATACGCGAAATCATTAATTCCAAGACCAGATAGCAGCAAGCTTTCCCTTAAGGCTGGGTCTGCACCCCGCAGTAATTGGTAAAAGATGTGGTAGTTTCGCTCCTGAGAATTAGGCTTCACGACGCGGGACTTTTCCAGAAGGTACCAGTCAATCCATGCTCCAGAGATCTGACCTGAACGGGTGAACTCGATTCGAATAAATTTGCCGAAGCGGGAAGAATTGTTGTTTCTCACTGTCTGGGCATTACCGAAAGCTTCAAGTATTGGGTTTGCCCGTAATATTTGCTGAGAAAGAATAGACAATTGCTTGGTCCCCGAGCGAGCATGTGGCGTATCAGACGTTGCAACTGCTGCAAGGTATTGAATAACCTTTTTGGTATTCTCTGTCTTGCCAGCTCCAGATTCTCCTCTTCACCTGCATGTCAGCATGGATCCAGACGTCTCCTAATTGGTCGATAAACATACGTTACAAGAATGCTCTGGTTCTCGCCCTCTTCCACTAGGTTTCGAAACGCCTCGTCTGCCATTGCGAAAATATGGGGTCGAGTTTCCTCTCTGCTCCGTCCTTTGTACATTTTCACATATTCATTGGAGTAGATCGGTAACGGGCAATAAGGATTTACTGTGACAAGGAAAAGTCCGGAATAAGTCTAAGAATCAGAAAGTCAGCGTTTTCCGTCTGTAGAACTCTTAAATTAGACAATACTAACATATATCATATCAGCTTGGTATCTAGTGTGCAGATTATGCACCACTGAAGCTTCGTTCAGGTGAGTAAGCTCGGCCATATCGTCCGCTTTGTCGAATTTCGCCGGGTTGACCTTGTCAACTTGATCCGCATCTACCTCACGTTGCTGATAATCTGTAAGCAACCACGACATTCCAATACAGATAGTACTCATACCTCGCCATCATCACTCTGTACAAGAAGCTTTCCATTATCTCCTTCTTCTAGCACAAGCCCTCGTATGAACGCCTTTTCAGGATCACGTAGCCAGACGTATTTATTCCCAGAAAAGTCATTATCGCCTTCAAGTCCCCGGATTTGGTCTGCTCCACGTTGAAGTTCCTCCGACTTGATAAACTCCGGTGCGAATGTACCTGAGGTGACATCATTCCGCAAAGAATTGGACCTTTGACGACCAGTGATGCGAGTAAATGGGGCTTGGGTGGATGGTGTCAGAGAGGACGAATTTCGGAAGTGTCCTCTCGCCTCTTCGAATTTACTTGATTGGGTCATAAGTGCTGACTTTGGACGTGCAGCTCTGGGCGCAGGAGATGGCGAGGGTGACGGGGATAGGGATGCCCGGCTGAACGGGTTCGCACGCTTTGGCGAGCCATTTAATTGTGATGGAAGCATATCGTCGTTAATTCAATAGGTCATCATTCAAGCGTTTAGTCAGAGTCGTATAATAAGATGTTTAGGCCATAAGAAGCTCAACATGCGTGCTATAGGGAATCACAAATGAAAGCATTAAAATCAGTCAAAGAACAAGTCGGAAGTCTGACTGGTTGACAGAACCTTAAGGTAAAGAGGTAATTGGCAAAGCTGCAGCAAAGCCGCAAGTGGCAGGTCCCTGGATACAGTAGGTCACTGACCACTTGCTCCATGCACATTGGGCCCGCATGTTTGTTTACATCCTGCGTTCCTTAGGCTCCCGATGCCGATCACGAACTAGTCCTGATCTGTATATCCACATCACGTGGGAAATGTACGGCACGAAACTTGACCTCTCTTTGGATTTGGAGTTGCACATCGATCACCTCCCCCTAACGTCTTGCTTCCTGCAGTCTTCTGTCGTTTTAACTGCGACGTATGCTTTACTCTCCCTCCCATTTCGCCTCGCTTTGGAAGGTTTAGTTTATGCCTTGTGTACAGTCTCTCTTCTGTAAAGAATCATTTCAATATTGTCAAGTCGCGACCTCACTTCCACCTTCCTGAGGCAGGTGCATTTTGAAGAATTCTGCTCATCACAGCTTGATGATGTGTGACGCCTAAAGTCGCGACGACTAATCTTCTACTCACATCTTCCAGCATATCTCACATTTGATCTTGAAGGTTGTCATTGAGTTGATTACTGAACAATGTCTTACCAAACCCCAACGTCCTTGGGGAGACCTTCCAATTATACGCCACAATGGCCATCAAATCCTTCTACATCAAACTCTCTCCCGCCTTCTCTTCCGCACAATTTTCCCTTCAATCAACATCAAATGTCTGCATATCAACAGTCACAGGATGGCGCTCGGTATCCGCTCGACTATAACGATGTGAATTTCACCGCAAATTCTCATCTCCCTGGACTAGGAGCGTCCGGGCCGGCTGGCTCATTGCCGCCGCCTCCTTTCCCTTTCATGGGCAATTTTGCCCATTCGCAATTTCCTCCCCCTCCCTTCCCTCCTATACAAATGCCGCCGTTGAGATACCCGCCAATGCCAGTCTCTACTGCGCCTCTAAATACACCTCCTAGTCGCCCTCTGACGAGTGATGTTCAACCCAATTCGGGCTCTGTGACTAATAAGCATCCGCAGTTTACCACCTCATCAGCCCCCAAGGAGGATTTAGAACGAGAGGAAGGTGAACTTACTGATAGGGAAGGGGAATGTTCGCAACAAGGAATAGACTCTCGCCATAGTACCAGTCCCCCGTCTTCCAGACGGGGACCACAACAAAACACTAATCTCCATACTGTAAATGAGAAAGGAGATTGGCCGAACGAAACGCATTGCAATGGCCATGTGCCGAATGGCTCTCGATGTGTGTCATCGGAGGCCGAGGAGGGCGAAGCTTCCTCAACTCGTTCACGCTCTTTCAGCCGAGACAGTGGATCCCGTAACTCACCCTGGTGTTACTTTTACGCTACAATAAACTAACATTTCGCAGCATACAACCCCCCAATGTCAGTCAATGTCGAGCCGTTCGTCCCCGCAGGCAGGATAGCCGACGAAGCTACTCCAAAACTGATTGGTCAAGACCTATCTGCAAAATCCGTGTCTTCCCCACCTACAACAGATGCACAAGTGATATCCAACGGCGGAAAGTCTCCAGCACAGCTTCGAGTACAAGCGCAGGGCGCCCTTCTTAGTTTAGCTCCGCACAGTATTCGATACAGTGAGCTTGTTGGCGAAGGTATCAATCCAGTGATACTCAGGCAACTTTATGAAGAAGTGGGGATCAAGGTCCCCACGCCGCAACCGGATACTGCATCAACTCAAGCATCCTCACTAGTTTCAACCCCGCGCGGTCATTCCGTCACAGATCTCACGGCTTCGGTCGAAACTGCTGGATCAGGTGACATACCTGCAACTGAAGCCGTAAGGGCGGAAAATGTCACGCAATCGACTGGGCTGGCAGGAAACGCGTCAACATCCGCCCCTTCATCTCAACCGTGTGCTGCGAAACCCATGGAACGTAAAGAGGTCATTGCCCGTATGCTAGCTGCGAAGGCTGCCAAGTCTACGAGAGTCCCAACTTCACCTCCAGGAGACGTGACAAAAGAAGCACCGACATCGGACAGCTCAACTACAGATGTTGAAAAGACTGGTGGCACCGGTGTTTCCACAGAGGCACCCGCACCAGAAAAAGAGGTTCGCGTCAGGGAAAAGAATAAAGCACAAACAGAGTTGGCTAGGCAACGAATCGAGCTACTCAAGAAGCAAGGTCTCATGAGATTACAGCAAAAGTCAACTTCAGGCGATGTATCTCCAAGTAATGACCTGTCAAACACGAAAACGACTCGCGATCTTACACCAGCCTTGAATTCATCGTCAATACAACATCCCCTGCCTGAGCGTCCCCCTGATCCTGAGACAGGTGCTTTTGCACGTATCCCTGGACTGTTCATGACCGAAGTAGCTCAAGAGGCACATGACGACCCATCTACGACGCCTACCCCAGCGCTTGTGGTTGATTCCACCCCGCAGCCTCGCTTTAATCAACGCAAGCGCCCGCGAGCATCTGATTTTGACGAACCTGTTCCTTTGCCTAGGAAGACATCTAATAACGGAGTGAATAACAGTGTCTCAGGCGATAGGCTTATCATTGACATCAGCGATGATGATCTATATGGGGATGACGAAGATGATGCTATGGATATCGAGACCTTCCAAGAAAACGATGTCCCCTCAGTCCTGGAAGGTCCAGCAGGGAACTACCTTGCTGCGGAGTCCCTTCCGCCGAGACCTGTGACATCGCCAAGTCAAGGGGCTTCTTTGTCTGTGACCCCGCAATTTCCACGGAATAATGATCAAGAAGACCTCCGTAGGAAAGACCTTGAAATACAAGCAATGCACAGGCGGATTGCTGAGCTGGAAGAACGCAAGAAGGCAAAATTAGCTGCCAGTCGTACTCAGTCTCCTCGTGCGGCGGATTCAGAGTCATCGCCTCCTGAAACATCCCCACCAACTGATACTGAAGCTCGTGAGACCCCCGTACAGGCTGCACCAGCTTTCGCTGAGCACAATCTTTCACAAGTGAACGCCATGGACGCTTTGCAAGAAACTACATCATCCGTCCCTAATCATCATCCTTCTTCAAACGGTCTTTCATGTCGTTTGGACTCCATGGATGTCGAACAATTGAAAGACATGAAGTCGAAAGTCTTACGGAAAAGAGAGATCGAAGCCGGAGTTCCTGCTTTGGACGCAGAAATAAAAAGATCTGAGACAAGGCTAGAGGAATTCAATCTTGAACAGGAGAAGCTTTTGCTAGATATCAGTAGGGGAAAAGAGGGCCGACAGCAACTCTTAGAGGAACTAGGCAATCTTAACGCAGAGCTCGATGGATTGTCTTTGGAAGAGGTGGAATCAGCACTAGACAGGTTGAGAACCATGCAGGAATCAGCAAATGAAGGTATGTCTCTCTATGCCCATTACTCTTTCTTTCCGGAGAGTTTTTTGTTTCTGTAGCTTTGTCTGCGTTGGCTTACACTGCCTCAAAATGCCTTCATATAGCCCAAGATCTGCAACCAATTACTCCAGATGACAAAGATATCGAAATGTCAAATGGCTCTGAGGCTGAGACCCAGCTTCAAGAAGAAAAGGGTTCTGTTCTAGAGCCATCCGTCAATACCCCAATCGATACAGGCAGCCCGTCGCGTCCGTCTGACATTACTGCGGCCCAACATGACGTATCTGAAGCTAGTAGGGAATCAACCCCGACTTCTTCCTCCGGTTCCACAGGGTCATCTATGGATGAATCCAGTGATAGTGATAGCGACGACAGTGATGACGACAGTGACGACTCTGCATCCGCTGGGCCAGGGGAGTCCAACGCCCAGTCTCCTGTGCCAGACGTGCATATGTCTGGGGTCTCAGACGGTGTAAAAGATACTAACCAAGTGGAACCAAGTCCGTTGAGCGAAGAGCGTCATGGTCACCTACCGGACCAATCTCAAGCCACGAACGTGACAGACCAGTCTGACATGTCTTCAAGCTCTAGTGAACAAGATGTTGAAATGACTGAAGATCAGGCTTCTGATAAATCTACGGTTTCAGAGGCCTATGAGCCCCCGGAACCGGAAGGAAATGCAAGCCCAGCTGACTCGGTCTATTCACCCCCTTTTAGTCCAGCTTCTCTTGGCCCCGTTGAGCCCACCGTTCCTAGTTCTCCAGTGCAAAACACCCAGAACACCGGTGAGCCACCGGCTGGTCCTACCCAAGAATCGGGCGTCTCACAATTCGGAAACAATCAGGTTGGCCTTCTGGATGTGCGAGAATCTCCTGTTTCGGCAGAGAATTGAAGGCTGACGCACCCTATATAGAATGCTCGACAGCCGGGAGACTCAGACCAGAAGTTCTCGCCTTACGTTAGTCCATTGAAATCTTTCAAGGCTTTCCGCTACCATCCAAAATACACTGATGAGGTTACGGGTGGCTATCGTTCCCTAACCTACAGCCATAATATTGATCCTATGGTTTACCTCTGTCCTTTCGAAGGGGCAGGCGGCGTCTGCAATGATCGGTCTTGTGAATTCCAACATTTTCGTGATATGACTCTTAGCGGTGCGTCGACAGACTTGAGCAACCTACACGCAACACCTCCCCATGTGCCATGACTTATAGTTCATTTGTCGTGCCTCGCGCCTTTTTTTTTCCCTTCCCTCTCTTGTTTGAACTTCGGCTTTCCTTTCAGCACTTTCCTCCTAGCCTTCTACACCATTCATCCATTCTATACCCTCATTCTTGCCAGCTGTGGTCGCTTTTGCATTGTGCGGATGCTGACACACAGGGTTATTAACATCGACAGATGACAAAATCCTTGTCCAGATGGGATCTCTTCGAGAGGGCAAAACACCAGAAGAAAAAGACAACTACATTGCTGGTTTGAAAAACATCATTAACGACATGCGACGCGACAAGGTGAAAGATTTTAACACTGTGGCCATGGAGATAGCCGCATACCGTAGACGCTTCCTCCAGGATCCTTCACGAGTCCTACCCTTGTAACAATCATTTTGCCTACAATACCCGAACATTCACATTGGGGAGCTCTTCTCCTCTTAAGGTGAGCTACCGATATATTCTGAGAATTGCCGATTCCAACTAGGCAAAGCACATAACTGTGCAAAACCGTCAGATCATCTAGACATGGAAGTCTCTTCCTTCATACTGGTCATACCAGCAGCAGTTTTCTTCCCAATACTACCTTGATACCCGCGTCTCTCTTGCTTTCTCTCTGAATTTTCAGAAAATATTCTTTCCCCACCTTGTTATATTAGCAGGTCAAGCTTCCTGCCTCCTTTTTCTAACAGTTTCGGCATCTAATGTCTCCTTTTGGCCCATTCAAGTGGGCACTTATTATTATACCGCTTCGATCTATGACCATTTGGGTTAGAAACGGTGTGTGGAGTTGGTGAGGATATAATATTTTTCTTCATTTTCGTCTGAAGGAGGTGGGCGTAGGCGATTCCACCCACGCCCCGACAGCAAACAATAGGCCCTAAGACGGCCCGGTGAGAACGAGGACTGCTTATTGTTAAACCAACCACGCCTGGTCTAGACAGACATGAGTCGGGCGACACGTCCTCCTAAAGGAATGGAAGAATGCGATTGTACAGCCGGGCGTTCGGATCGGATCATAGGAGTACATAGCAATAAACAAACGAACAATACCGCAGTGTTTGATTTTAATCTATCTCTTTTTTTTTTTTTTTGGCCCCTTTGTAGTCCTCTTCTTGATTTGCGGACGCGGTGGGACGGGGCGTCTAGCGCCTAAGACCGACGAATTCCAAGGCGCAAACGGGCGTCTAGTTCGGGGATTTGATTGGCCGACGCCCCGATGGTCACCCCGAATGGCCCGACGCCGTAAATTACCCGTGACCTCAAGCTCCCCGCGGTCAGGCCTAGCAGCGGAGGTCCAGAATTAGGAAGGATATCCCGCCGCACCCTAAACAAAACCCAGCAAGACAAGGGCAGTGTCACCTGCAACAGTGTCTCTCTCTCCTATCCAACTCGAAACAAAGCAGGTTGAGTCACAGCGATTACTGCCCTGAAAGACTGACTCATCAGAAACCCTGTGACCTTCTGACTCAGGCATGCATGGAGGAAGTTAAGTTACATCACCTATACTACTAGCACTATACACTATACTAGAACTCTCTTAGTACCCCGACTATCCCGGCCTCGACATCTGGGGGCTGTGTAGTTCCTGGTTTACGAGACCTCCAATCAGATTCCACCACTCCATATCTCGGAATGGGGAGGGGAAAAAAAAAGGACAGACCAAGAAGATGAGTAAATAAATGAAAAAAAAAAAAGTAAAAATAAATGGGGAAAAAAAAAATAAGAGCAATAATAATAGAACATCTTAAGTAAAAGAAATCTTAAAGCCAGCCAAAGATACAATCTATGTATAGTATATACTTACTACCGTGGCACCGCAGATCATTCTGATAATATGTGTGTGTGTGTGTGCCTTCCATACCACGGCCATGAATGTTGTTGGTAACACCAACAACAGCGAACAACAAACGGAACAAAAGAATTCTTGAAAAAGTCCAACGGCCAGGGTATGCAGTATGTGGTCTGGAAGCTGAGGAGGGGTGAGCAAGTGACCTTGGTTTTTAAACCGGCCGAGTGGATGAAACTAAGATCAAAACGGCCTACTGGGCGTCTGTAAAAGCAAGTCAGATTTAAAAAAACACAAACCAAGTACCCGGGTAGCTACTAGCGTGAGTACTTTTGTTTAAGGCTGAAATAGAAATGCTGCTTATAAATATTTTTCAGCTTGGGGGTTTCTGTATTATCAAGCGATCGGCGGGTTTTGTATATGTTATGGTTACTAATGTACTAGGATCACAAAGTCTCATACCTGGAAGACGTTGGAATGTCTTATAAATCCAACAGAGGCAGAGACGGAGAATAAATCAAGAATGGGATATTATCAGAATAATAGTATCGTTGCAGGGTATTGATAATCTATGTATGTATTGCTACGAGGATTGTACTATTAGGGTTATTATATGTTATCCCAGTGGAAGTATTTATTTTGGCCGACACACGAAACAGGGCCAATGTATAATTGTATAATAACTATGTATGTCTTAATCGATCCCTGGAAACCGACCCCGATAGAGTGGACATCCATTGCATGCTCTGGTTTGAATCGCAATGCAACCCCCAGGTTTATTTTTATAGCACTGCGCAACAGAATCTGCAATGCAGGCTTTGCGTGAGAATCTGACAGGTCCCGAAATAGCAGATTGTCATACAGAACATCCGCAAATCGAAGAAGTAGAGGGAGCTCACATAGACCTTGGTGAGTTCGTATTATCATGAAGAAAGATAGACATAATTATAGCAGTGATATCATGCCAAGATTACGCCATGTGGCTTTTTTTTTTTTTTTTTCTCTGATGGGTTTCTGATGCCGTCCGACGCTCTGTAGTTACAGGGAAGTGGGGTGGGAAGAACGGGTGCCCGTCTTACACCCTCCATATTGAGACACATCCTAGCGGGCGGGCACTTGATTTGGTAGACCCGCGATGATGGCTTAGTAAATTTCTAAATTAGATGAAGACGATAGTTCACGATTTTATTATTAGATGTCTTAGGATTTGATTTGCACGCGATCGAATGTTCGGTTTCTTCGATCTGTTGGTTCTTGGATGGGCTCCCTTGTACCACCTCCACGGCGACGAAAAGAAAGAAAAATCACGAACACAGCCTCTCTCGGTCAGATGAAGGGTCACTTCGTATGGAGAGAATGGGCCAGTAAACAAAGGAATAGAAGGAATAAAGATAAGAGTCATCAGAGCTGAACATGTAAAACGCGAAAAAGCGGAAAAGTAATCGTCAAACATGAGAACCAGGGCCAAAAAGACGCCCCAAGACCGCCAGTTCCCTTACCAGCATAGGGCTAAATGTACTCAGTGACCGGTTGAAAGGGCGGTGGGATCATTTGGGATGGGAAAGCCAAAAAGGAAACCTAGCAAGTGGCTTGCATGATCTGCAGGCATTTCGCAAGTCTGACTGGTGGACCAAGACTTGAGGCTCGGAGTATTAACCTACCAGAAGTCAGCCTCGAGCTTGCCCATGGTCTCAGCTGCGAAAATCAATACGGGGTCGCTGGTTCGTTTTGGATTGGGGCCGGATCGACCACACGTGTTATGTATGGGATTTTACCCTGTCAGTTTGAAAACGCGGCTACAGATGACAGGTGGCAATTGTTTGAATCTATTTATTGATCCCTACAGTATGTGTAATCAGTAATCAACGATGACTGGTGGATTATTGGCCTGGTCTTTACGTTCTGACTTTTTGTCGTTGAGGGTTTTGGGTGAAGGGTGTGGGTAGCCAGGCAATAAGGCGGCACTCGGACACCTTCTGAGGCACGGTCAAACTCTACTATCGTAAAATTGGAATAATGTCCACAAAAAAAGGATATGGATATTGATTCACTATAGAATACAGGCAGGAGATCTAATAGCATCTGCTAAACAAGAATAATTGCCATAATAAAAGAAAAAAAAAAGAAATCAAATAAAGTAGGGACAATATGCCCCACGATCCATAGTTCGGGCCTTAAACGAGGCACTCTTCGGCTGCAAGACTAAGTATAGTCCAGCTATACTTTGTCTTGTAGCGGCCCCATGGCCCATCACGAAACTCAAACATCACAAAAATCAAAACACTGTAACCGCTCAAGCCTATGCGCTCATGCATGAGAATAAAAATCCAAGAAAGGAAAAGAAAAAATAACGATAAAAAGAGGTCCCAAGACTCCCTCGCCCATGAATGTTTCTGCCGTGCCATGCTCATAAAGAAATCGCTCAGATAGCCATCAAAAACGCATTGCTGTCGTAAGATCCCGTCTCGACATTAAAGTATAGTAAGTTGAACACTATACGGAAACATGTCAGCTTTCAAATGCCACGCTAGTATTTACTCCGGAAACTCTTACCTCCACCGGTCGAAATGTTCTAGATCATTACTTCACAGGGTGGCATCCCGAGCAGACAACGTGGGAGCATATAACGCATTGGGGTTGAATGTTGTATAATTTGGGTCCATCTTGGCACTGGCAGCAGATATAAAGGTACCCATTGGTTCTAACATGGCCGGAGAGGTCGTGGAGAGAGCTGTCAGGCACATTCACATAGGACATGGATGGCCGATGAACCAAAGAATCGTCCTCCATGATAGACGAGACTGATGCCAGAGAGCTGACTGAGTCCCTTCGCTCCATGCGAGCAGGGACTTGAGAGAATGGTGACATTTCGTGGTAGCAAGGCATTATGTTGTTTTCAGATGTTCTGTTTGGAATAGTCGGCAGGATTGCAGTCGCGAGAAACGTGGATGCTGCAGACAGAGTATGAAGTTGTGTTCGCGAGAGGCCTGGTAGTTAGAAACAGTGAAGGATAAGGCTCAGTAGATATAGACTGAAGCAAAGAATGTACGCAGAGGTAAGTAGAAGTCAATGTGATTGTTGTTAATGAAGATTCAAATGAAGAGTGAGAATCTCGTGTGTTTAAATAGAGGTAGAAGACGAGAATGATGAATCACTCTGACAATGACAAGGCAGTCTTCGCCCTGAATGGTGTGGCTTCGACATATCAGGCAAGCCCCAGGCCACAGCTCTGCCCCAATCGGGGCTAAAACCATATTACTTCAGTCATCAGGTAAGGGTAATCTTCTGCAAAAAGAAGGGGCGGTTTAGCAAGTAGATCGAAAAAGTGGCTTGGCAGGCTATTACTTTGGCCCTGAGGGTCCGGGCCGTTATGTGTCTAGATCCCTTTGAGCGACATTCAGCAGCATTCTGAATCATAGGTCTGGTAAACTGGAGGCCTTAGAAGAAGATTCGACTGCATTCCTGCAGCAAGTTGACTCAATTTGTCCTCGGGGTTCGCTGGTTGTCTTCCAAAAGGCGGAATACCGGCAAGGCTTGGGCACTTGATTTTGCCCGTTCATACCCGCCATTCCTCCAATAACTGTGCCAGTTTTCATCTGTTTGATTGATTTAATTATTTTTTATTGCTAGGGTTTTTTTTTTTTTTTTTTTTTTCATTTCTTCCTGTTAATTTACTCCCTCTTGGCTTCTGAAGTGGATGCGGACTACTAGTATGCATAGCCTGGATGAGATGCTTGAACGGGCAAAGTGTTTGGATCCACTTTTAAACTATGGGGACTAGGCAAGGTACCATTCAGGCAACGACCCGGAGCCTCAGGTCTCTCCAGCAGTCCAGCTCAGCACTGATGTTCTTTGGTAGTCTTAAGCCTTCTGGCTCTTACCGTCATTTTTAACCCATTATGGGAGTCCACCAGCGAAGTCACTAGTATTTCTGTCGGTCAAACAGTCGTACTTCGGTTTCCGACTAAGCCAGGCATCCCTGTTTGCTGCCTGCTGTTGTCCTGAGGCAATCCACGTGCGGATCTTGTATGACGCCCAACACGAAGAATGACAGAGTGACCAAAATTGATTCATTACTCGATAGAAAATGACTCTTCATCTTTTTGCTTTCTCAATCTTGCGAGGCCTTCTCCCTCCGGCCGTCCCTGTTGCTTCCTTCCTTTCTTTTCCGTTCCCTCTTTTCTTGTCCCTGTCTCCTTAATTACCTACCCCCCCACCCCACCCCGCCTTTCCTCCATCTTTGCAACTGCAAATTGCATCTACTGCCCGGACCTCGCTGCTGAAGGTGCCATGCCATATCGATCAAACAAGAGATACTGACCACCGATCCTGATTTCACTGTACGCTGATACCTACCTGGAAAGGCAGTACTATTTTGCAACTACTTCTAAATCCTGCATCATGCGGGAAGCTTATAATTACTCACATCCACTGTGGATCACCGCGCAAGAAATTAAACGTACCGTTGTTCTCCCAGGCTACAGCCGCTCCAACTGCTATACAGTACCACGTTCATCAAGAGAATTAGTATATCCCCGTCCGGATGACGTTCGCATCCTTAGATAGCGTCTTTTGCATTGCTACAAACTCATAGGCAGAAACTTTGAAGCCTTCTAAAGGCATACCTCGTCAAAGTGCGCGATTTAATAGTTTTTTCAAAGAAAAAGCTAGATAACGTTTGGATGGTGGCCATGTGGATCGCTATCCTATCTTAGAAGGCCGGTGTTGGTGAGAGAACGACAGCAAAACCAATATTATAATTTATCACGCCGCAGGATTCTCAACGTTGGCGACATGGACAATGTGACCAAGGAATTGATGTAATGCTAATGTTGCTGCTAGGGGCCGTTACCAACCATTCTCTGTGTCGGCTGCGTACGGACGGTCAATGAAAATTTTTCGATTTGGATTATACTACGAAGGTCGAGATCTTGATTAGATCGTACGGAGTAGATTGTAAAATAAAACTAAACTCGCTTGCCATCATGTGACAGCACATGACGACGTCATGTATAGAGTTTGACGAGTTTGCAACAGCTGGTTGTCACGTTCCTGATGATGGACAGCAACAACGTCACTTTCATCCCCCTATCGGCCATATTTCTACAGAGCCCGAGGCTATCATCTTCCCGACCTATAGTGCCTCCTGTGGCGGCTGTACATACTTGTTTCCCCGTTCTTGTATAGATAAAATTCAGATTCAATCTGATACTCATCCGCCCTACCACTTCTCAATGCAGAGGCAATTCCAGCCCTTTTACCGTTAATTTCTGATGGCGCGTCCAGACAGGCGCGTCAGTTTAGCGGTAGCTAGGATCATACCTCTGGTGCTGCTCTGTACTGTCGTTTATGCCTCCTACGTGATTACCAAACCACTATGCAGTCAGTTCCCCTTATTTGGATATCAACGGTGATGCTAATAACCTCTTCGAATACAGTCGACTACCTTATTACCCCTCTACCTAAATATAATCGCAGTTCTAGAGTTGGCGCTGGCATCGCCATAATTGTTGTATATTACGTTTTGCTCACACCGGTGGTTCTTACATATCTTCGACTATTGTACAATGTCATTTGGAACCCCGGCTTCCTCCCGCGAGGTTCTTCATATCTTCCTGATCAACAAGATACCGAGGCGCTGAACACCCATCATCGAGACAGTAAACGAAGGAGGAAAAGCCATCGAAAGCCAGGGACAGCTGAGAAATCAGACACATCAGCTGAGGTAGACCTCGAAAGGGGCGTCGATCACAACGCTGGAGGAAAGGCGTTCCCCCTGAATGCAGAAGGGTTAGAGAACTTTTATACGAATGACGTCTTTATCTGCCAACCAGATGGAAGGCCTATATATTGTTCCACTTGTTGTCAGTACAAAACAGACAGGGCACACCATTGCCGGGAAGTAGACCGGTGTGTTCGTAAGATGGACCACTTCTGTCCTTGGTAGGTTATGCTTCTCTTTTGGAAAGACATTGTGTTACTCACTATCACAAGGGTAGGGGGTGTGGTCTCGGAAACCTCATTTAAATTCTTCATTCAGTTTGTGTTTTACACATTTGTCTTTTGCACATTCACTCTAATTGTTTGTGCGATCTTCACCGCTGAACTCCGACGAGAGGTAAGAGCACACATTCTCGGTGAAGCCGTTGTACTGGGCCGACTAACTTTCCAAGACGGGTGAGGTCAATCCTCACTGGGCTGTTGGTATCGGATTGTGAGTGAACACAGCTGTGATTACGGTCGGCCGTTTGAATAATGATCTAATGGTTCACAGGAGTTGCCTTTTCGGAATCTTCACACTTGGAATGACGCTTAGCTCTGTGCAACTTGCGATGTATAATTTGACGACAATCGAAAATCTGAATCGTCGGTCGGCAGTCTGGACAATAGCTATACGTGTGCCTAAGCATATGCTTTCTAAGCTCGACCCCGAGTCCCGATGGGCACCCACATTTCGTACAATAACTTATCCTTTACCGCCGATGCCTCTAACTACTGAGACTACAGCAGAGCATCAACAATACCCACCCACAGGGGAACAGCATGTGTTTGCGATTCTCCAGACACTCCCAGGCGAAAATCCTTTTGACCTGGGTACTTCTTTCAAAAACCTCCAACAAGTTTTGGGTTACTCTATACTTGACTGGTTGCTTCCCCTCAAGCAAAGTCCATGTGCGGATCACAGTAGTCTAGAAAGCGCTTTCGCGCTCGGGCCCGTGGTACAGAGATTGAAGGCTGAGGCTGGCCTTGAACATCCTGTCACGACAAATGGCGAATCCACGGATCGGTCATCGAAGCGTAAACGGAGACGAAGCAGAGCTGAGCAACGCAGTTGAGATACAATTTTGGCTAATAATACTGGGAACATTGCGGCGGTATACCATCATCATTATCATCATCATTATGCGGGAGTTTTGGTCGTTCTGGAAAATGCTGCATCCTCGTTCAACCCTTAGACGATTTTTCTTTTTCTTCTTCTTTCGTTCCCTTGGAAATATTGGTAACGGAGCACTGGTCTGCTTGGACACAAAGCTATCACGTCGCATACATACATACATATTAATAAGAGTGAAAAATATCTTTCAGTTTAGGCCTACTGTGGAAAGGCGTTCTACATCCCCAGGACTGTAGATCTCAACTAGGTTGTCTTCCACTTTAGTTCAGAGCTGAGGGGTAAACGTGATGGAAGCTATACCTAACATCTATATACTCCGTTCCTCATCTAAGGCTTGTATCTTTCTGTATACTTTGCTATTCTGGTCGGTTGAAAAGAGATGATGAGCATCACTGTAGTCACACCCAGTTGTATAATGGATATCAACTTGCTCCCCCTCGATCCCCGTCGGGCCTATCGCTTCTTGTATTTTCAGTATCTTACAGTACTAGAATTGAAGTTTCCTGGGCCCAGAGTATCTTTCTTTTTCTTTTTTATCTATTTCTTTACAGGGTCTGTGCTATAACACTTTGTGAAGGAATGGTTAAACCCGCTTGGATTTAATTGGGCGTTACTGTTGAACTGCAGTGTCTTAACATCGTACTAAACACACTTGTACAGATATATAAACTTGAAACTAAAGAGAGATTAGTAAAGACAGAACCAAAGAAAGGACAGGTACAAGCAAGCAAGTATAGTTACCATCTTATCAATACCGAATGATGTGTACTCCGTAATCGGCAATCTATAATCTCGGCACATATAGATCGGAAAGCAGTTCAAAGAAAGTTAAAACATCCCTGACCATGGCTATGGTTGTTCACGTGGTTAATCACCAACTGAGTCAGGGTGGTTCTGAGACCTTCTTTCAACCCGTGTTGCTTCAATTTTGGCTTTAGCTGTGAAGGATAAGTATAAAGTTAGTTTGAATAAGGGAAACATTGCATGGAAGTCCGAAAGGGAATTGATCATATTGTATCATCAGTTTGTTTATTGTACATTTCGATCTCATACATCGTTGCAGATATATATTGTACACAGCTTGAACCCAAAAATATCCCTAGAAGAGGGAGTAAAAAAAAAAAAAAAAAAAAAACAAAAAAAAAAGAAAAAAAAAAAAAAAAAAAAAAAAAAGAAAAGTGAACAAAAGAATCCAACATGGACCATCAACATGAAGAACGAAAAGAGGTAAAATAATATACAATAATCAAAGTCATCCAGTGCAAGGAATTTTATCACGCTGGAGTGCAGTAAGGACATGCCTTGTGGGTGCAAACAGTGCACTGGCCGAGACTCAAACCGGGATTATTCTCAGAGCCACATGAGCAGCATATCCACCATCCAGCCATGCTGGGCCTGGAGGTGTCTTCAGCATTTTGGGGAGCTAACGATGCGCGCCGTGTCATAGTTGATGTAGAAGTAGGGGTGGCTGTCGATGATGGATGAGGTACTTTTTGATGGCTTCGTTTAGAGTTCTAAGGTGTATTAGGTACAGATGGGAAGGTATTATGAAGGGGCTAAATACCGATTGAGAGGAGATTACTCTTATCTTGAAAAAAAAAGCACTTTGAGGCCAATACTATTTATATAAACATGTAGGTTTTTGATTTGGTATAGGATGCTTTATAATGGGAGGGAGTAAAATATGGAAAAGGGTTTCAGTCGTTTCTAACTGACATTATATGCCATCCTAGGGTGAAGGAAGGTGATTCATCATTTGTTGCCCCTTTAGACCCTTTACCACGGGCTTTGCAGGGCACAAGTCTGAATCCTTCTGCTAGTTTGCCCTTACCACAACACCTTGTTGAGTCTGCCTATTCTCGGTGAAAGATAGCTAGATAGAACAGTCAACGCCCAGCATCCTGGGCTCGTGCCGTGTGGTCACGACCGCGCCTGGGTACGCACGACTCAATGAGAATGCGAATTCGAATGAGGCCTCAGGTCTTGAAGGTTCGCTGCCTTCTGCGATGAAGCATCTGCTAAACCAGGGGCAACGAAACGCACCCCCGGCGATGTATGACACATGATAAGTACGTCATCATTAGCCCTAAGCATGTTGGCCCCGAGCTGGGCTAACCCCAAGGCACATCTGTGGCTGAGTAGCGAAGTGGCTGATTGTGCAGTGTCAGTATAAGGATGTTGTATATCATTGAATATAAGAGTTTGCGTCCTCGAAGCAAGGTTTGATCATAAAGCTTCGCTCATTCATCAAACATTTGCCGTCGTAAGGGTGGCGGTGCATCGATGAAAAAGGTCGAATGTGGGTAAATGATATAGACTGTTGCGCAATGTCGATGACTAGACAATAGCATTGTTTCTCCTTGGTGTGAAACTTCGACTGGGTATTCCCTAGGCATTTGGGCGATATAGTTGCATACGCAAGAGCCCGAATTAACCCTTGATAGTATGTGACAAACAGATTTCTAACAATGGGCTTCAGACTTTTCATCCAAATAGAGCGTTTCATCATGCTGCTACCCCGTGTGTCAAATGTGTGCCGTGAGTTTACTCTAGAACGTGACCTGGTCGTAGGTAGGACTCAATCACTCTAATGAGTTGCACGCCTCGGTTATGAGGGGGAAAGTCTACCATTGCGACGGGCGAAGATAAAAGAAATCCCGCATTGTCTTCACCCGGCCGGTGAAGTGCAAGGAAGTCAGAATCGAGAAAAAGTGAAGCGAACGTGTGGGTAACGGGGAGCAAAGGCTGTTTCAAGGCGGTCGATGCCCAATATTGTTACCGGAAATCATCACGGTCATGTAAGGGAGAATCAATGGTGCTCCACTACCATTCGGGCGTCCTGGCACTGAGACGGGAAGTGCCCGGTTGCCCATGCTGAGCTCAGCCTTGGGAGTCTTCAATAACCGGCGAATCGACATCACAATCTACGCATAGTCGTATTCGTCATGGCTGCAGGGTTCTAAGATGATCAATTAGCGTTGTGTCCTGGTTATACGGATGATTCTCTACACTCAAAGGTACAGTACATACATGCATACAGTAGCCGAGGGAGTATTCTTCTAGAAATTCGCGGACTCCACTCTTGGGTTCCTTAATCTTACTCCGGAGTACAGTATGCCTGAACCCACATTGAGAACCCGAGTGGCAGTACATTCCATTGGATGATGTCATGGATGCAGTACAATCTTTTCTGTGCGCTAACACAAGTTCAGCCGACGCATCGCTTGGCAACCGGCAGGGGAAAAGGTGGATACGGGAGAGCGGGTGATTCGCCCGCCGACACTTGGGCAACGGGGACTCTTTCCCCCCGAATCAAAAGTCAAAGTTTAGATGACGCTGATGGAGGATGTGAAGCCTGCTCCGTAGACTTCAACGGTATCTCATTCGTTAGGAGCCATAGTGCTAGCAGTATCACCACGGTTAAAAGCGGAGGGGCAGTGGAGACAAAAGGACCATTTGAAGGTTGAAATCCGTTTGAGCCGGCATCGGCATCAGAATCACCGTTCCGAGACTGGTATGCGAACCACTGGAAGAAAGTGAGGCCTTGTGATACGGTTTTATCCAAGTCATGCCCTGAGGCTCTGCACGATGTTTGGTGGCATTGATCGGAATGATTGGATAAAGTCAAGCGATTGAGTTGCGGAACAGGAAAGACACTCTTCCGGCTGGGGGGGCGTGACCATGGGTGGTGCAAACCGATGCAAACTCACCCAAGGGAAAGGGAACGGGAGATGTCACTGACACCCATGGTTTCCTAGTACTTTATTATCACCACCATAACTGCAACTTAGTACAGAGTAGATCCCCACTCGCTACGGAACAGCGGGAACTTGTCGACAAATATCGGTAACTACTTTGCTTTTCACTTCAAACATTGAGCGAATCAGACCATTCTTATTAAGGGAGCCCTAATGGGGCGAATGCTCAACTCTTACAGGAGGCAACCGGACTATACGAATTAGATAAGCTGGTTGGTGTTCCACTTTTATGGTGATCCATGCCATCATTAGATGGTTTGGTTCTGACCGTTGTTAGTGCGCTTCGTCGAGGACCCTCTTTCGTCACAGCCCACTCAAGACTACCAAAGATATTATTACTATTACCTCTCATTCTTAACCACACCATTCTGATTGTTAACCTCCCCGTTGTGAATTATGATTTATTATCTTGCCCCTTGCTTCTTTTCAACAAAATCTCTGTGATCCACTATCAATCTTCTGCTTTCTATAAATATCGCTGTCTTGCCGCTCGTGCTGTCTCACTTGTGGCCTGCAGGATCAGGCATCCAAAACTAGCTCCTTTTCTTTTTTTGCCCCTCAGCCTTAACTTTCTTTAGTTCTTCGACGACTTTCCTGGCCTGGTGCCCAAAGGATTCGATTACATTCAAACTGCAGATTTCTTCCCCGTTCTGTCCATTTCATGTAAATTTTTTGTCTCCTCTACCTCTGATTTGCTTGCCCTCTTAATCTTTGAACGTCTCATTGACAAAGCTTATCTCAGTGCTTTGTTTTCTTTGAATCAAACGTTGCCCACCTCCGCATTAACACGATCGGAGTTTGTACATCACTCCATTGTCTGTGAGGGATTGGAATAAGCCCTACTACATACCATCGGCCCATGTCTCCAAGCGGCTCACGTATGATTGATCCCATGCGAGCCTCCACCGGAACGGTGCAGCTCAGCTCCTCTTACGAACCCCCCTCCGCTAGTCGATCCGCATACTCGGGCTATCCGTCCAGCGGGCCTTATGTGGTGACAGCGTACGACCCCCGGTATTTTCGGGAAGGAGGATTAGAAGCCCAGCGGATTTCTTCCAAAACCTATCGAGATGCTGGCCATTCAACCAAATTGCGAACCGAGTATGAAGTTCGTCCAAGACAACGGAGTAATACTACTTCCGCGGCAGACACCCATTTGGCTCCTGGTCGGCTTCATGGCCCCAGAGCCCCTCCTATCATAACATCTAATTACCGCCGTTCTCCTAGCCCTCTTGCAAGCCACGACCATCATCCGGTGCATTCCTCTTCGCCTCGACGCCACCGGCGCCACCCTCTTTCCGTCTCTCATATCGATTATGCCAGTGATACAGGAAGGCTGGACCCGAACGATAGGGCGATTATGTCACCGATAGTTCACAGTGGTTACAGGGAGCACGATCCCAGTAGACGCTCGCGATATCCGCCTACGGGAGGTCTTCGCAAGGGGGAGGACATTGACGATTACGATGCTTATTCCTATACTAATCCTCGTGAGCAGTTTGAGAAAGACTCGGCCGCGCGGCTTCGTCACGATCGGGGCTCATATTGGAGGGAGAGGCCCCTAAGCCTGACCGGGATTGATGATCCTCAATTAGTACCAAGAAGCGGTCCCCGATCGCCAAAGCCTCCACCATCTACAAGAGGGTTCGGCAGACTTGAGTGGGACCCGAGGGTACGGCGTCCGATGCAGGGCTCTGCTGATAGCGACATTGACGTCGCCAGTGCGCACCGGAGGACGGGGCGGCGAAATCCGGTTCATCTACACCAAGAGGCAGATGAAGGGTATTCATCATACAGGAGTGATTACGAAGATTCTCACCGCCGCCGGCATCGGCATCGGCGGCACGACAGCAGTCGGGGTAGTCGGCATCCTTATGATACTGGCACGTCAAGGAGCTCTATCGCTAATGAGCCTGCTCCCCAAGGCGCTACTACTGGGCTGGGGACGGCTGTCCTAGGAGGTGTATATGATGGCTATGAATCTCAACGAGCTGAGCGTCATCGCTCTTATGATCACGATACGCGAGATCGTCATAGTCGACCGCAGAGGCCGTCTAGACGCCAAGTAGACAGCGATTCTGATGCATACACTTCTGACGAGGACCTGAGAAAGCACAGACGCGAGGCGTCAGCTCGCCCGAAAGCTAGCAGGTCTGATGATTCTGCAAGCGGCAGCGAGCGCCCTCGACGGCGCCGATCTCACTCACGCCCACGTCCACGAGATAGCTTTACCACTAAGGAGATGATCCAGGTAGAGCGCCAAGAAGATAAAAGGGCAGAATCTACAGTTTCGAAAGACAGCGAGACCCCGCCAAAAGGAATCTTAAAGACACCTACAGATAAATTTCCAGAAGAACCTAACCCTGTACGAGAAGGAGTAGCGCCTCTGAAGGACGCGCACAAAAAAGGCATTCCTCCTGGAGCGCGATGGACCAAGATTGATCGTCGACTGGTCAATCCCGCGGCCCTGGAAGCTGGCCGTGAGCGCTTCGAGGAACGGTCGGACTATGTGATAGTCTTGCGGGTGCTGAGCAAGGAGGAGATCCAAGCGTATGCAGTTAGGACGCAAGAGATCCGAGGTATGCTTGACCTGAATGTTCCTGGGTCTGTAGATTTCCAAACTAACCGCTTATAGATGCCCGCTACCGTGAGTATGTTCAGGAGCGACGTCGGAGGCGAGAGGAAGATAAGCGACGTGGTCGTGTGGTAGACGACTTCTCAAGCGACGACGAGGAAGATGACGACGATTCTCCCGGAGGAGTCGAGGATAAGCCGGCAGAGCAGCACAAGATGGCGGAGCCTGTGAAGTCAGCAGGATAACCGACAACATTAATCATGAAGTTGGCTCTTGTTCCCTCTCTGGCCACCTTCTATTATTTTCCTTCCTTCCTTTCTTTTCTTTTTCCTTTTCTTTTTTTCCCTTTCAGTTTCATCTTCTACGTTCAGCAATCCGATTGTTCGGATCTGCACCGTAGTGTACACATATGAAGTCATGTGCTTATTTCTTGGATGTATAATGGGTTGTCGACGATTACAATATGAATTTAGCGTGCAGATGAATTGTTGATCATGATGCGGTTCAGTGTTCATGTGGAAAGCGAAGCGATCAATCAAATGTGACTATGATGTTTTGGCTATATGTTGCGGGTTATTTATTGCATCATTGTATACATCATTTGGGCCAGGTCCGTCCCCAGCAAACATGGAAAGATCCAGTGAGCAGGGGAGGCCAGAAATTTTGCAAGTCTCCTGACTACTGCTAGAGTGATGTTGTACTACCGGAAGCCGCTCGGTGACTGGCTGTGGACACGAAGATGAAGAAGGGAGGTAAGCTCTAGCAGGACGCTGTGTTATCCCCTTGGGGCCGGAGTTGGGTGCTTCTGCAGAACAGCCAGTCAGTCACTTGAAGTTGTTACCTGTAGCCACTTGTTTGTTTACCTTTCAATTCTTTTCTTTGCTTTGCTTTTCTGGTCGGAAGATTGAACGCCAATGCATTCTGAAAGAAACCACAGCTCTCACAAGCCCAGATGCAAGCCCTATATTTCGATCAGCGTCGGACGTCGCATCGCCCGTGTTTAGCTTCCTTTTTAGTTCAACTGTAGAGATGCTATAGGCGCGTTCTAACGCAACTCTCCCGCAGCGGATGAACATGTTTTATCGCACGCACGTCTACAAGGAATCGACGGGAAAGCATGGGTCCCCTGGAATCCTTTCCATCCGTCAACCGTTGGATTTTCTTTTTACTTTCTTTTTTTTTTTTTTTTTTTTATTACTTGTTATTACTAGATAAAACAGGGAATGATAGATATGTTTGTTTATTTTCTATTATTATCCAATCTGCCACCTGGCATGAAGTGAACGGACATCGTGATCAAAAGCAGAAAAAGAAAAACATGCGTTTCGACTCCAATGCGGGAGAGTGTGACAATGGCGTTCTTAGGCGCTGGAACTTCATTTCATGTCATTCCCTCTCTGCTCCACGAAATGAAAATCAGAATAGGCTGGTTCATTATAGGGTGTACAGGACAACTTCTTAATCGCAAAGCCACTTGGTTCATGGTAGCCAAACAAACATCCATAGCTAAGTTAAATCCCGAGGGTCCGAGGATCGTTGCATTTCCAAGCTCACTAGCATCGGGATGACGAAAGACGGTGGTGATGAATCCCCCAATCATGTCGGGGAGTGGTTGTTGGATGTGTTGCCTGGTGGTCGACAATCCTTTCGGATTATCGGCATGGAGGAGTGGGCAACTACTTACTAGTCATAGTATATTTCTGATTAATCCGAATACGTTGGATGTTTGCTCCAGGATAGGTAGTGATGTGCTAACAACGATACTACCTCACGAATTCGAGACAAGGATATACTGGACAAATGTACGGGACATCGAGTCATGGCTTGCGATGACACATTGCCCGTCGTCGTATCTTATTTGTATGGATGTACATACATGCCTCCCATGCATGTCCATCATTCTGGTAGGTAGTGGTGGTGGGATGTCTAGGAAGTAAAGGTATTGTTGTTGAAATATTCTTCAAACGTTTCTGCATCTAATTAATAACGGGGTAAAAAAAAAAAGAAAAGAAAAGTTTGACATAGCTCACATTCCGTTACTGAGTAGACCTGTCGGTGAATATTTACTAAACTTTATGATGCGTTTCCTTAACTTACTTTTCTGCAATTATTTTTGCTTTTTGCTTTCTATTTTATTTTACTCTTTCTTTCAGTCTCTTGTGAAGAATCTGTATCAATTCTACGATTTGACTTGCTTCGCACGTCGGAACATACTTCCCGTTCTTTCCCCCTTCTGTATGTACTCCGTACTCTGTATGTTTTCACGTTGAAAGTCAATCCAATCCGTCTTTCGGTGTCTGGTAAAAATGGACGGTAAATTTCCAAGGGCCTCGGGATGTCCCTCTTTGCGCTCCGCTAATCACCCGCTGCTAGTTCACTTTTGGCGTCAGTGCGAAGGGACCCCAAGGATGAAACATGAACATGGTCTTTAATTGGACCTGATCGGTTATAATTTGCTGATTTCGCGTACCTACGATTTTTCCCCCTAATCCCTTTCTGTCTGGACGTCGGGGGATTCAATGAGTCTTTTTTTTTTT